TCTACTATGCGGGCTTTTTCAAACCCATGCATTCAATTTAAAGGTAATTCTAACGATGGTGATTCCGGCTTGTAACTTTTTAATCCTAGCCGACTGATTCACTACAAAATTTATATATATATATATTGTGGAGAGAAGCGATATTCAGTTTATAACATAATTGACGTCAAACTTTGATCTTTAAATTTATGAAAAATCAGTAAAAAATTTTGACAGAAAGCACATTTTATAATTCCACATATCCTTGAATTCCGAATTTAATTAGCCGACATTTCTCTCGTAAGTCTTTCGTAAGATATCTTTTTCACTTCGCATTTTTGGTACATACCGTTCTTTCATTTTTAAAACTTCTATAGATTAGGAGCTAAATGGTCCATAGTGCACTTCATCAAACTTATCGAGAACTTGGCACACATAAAACCTTAAATTAGAAAACTGCTTGTAAGGAGCATTTAAGGTAAATGCTGGAGGGTTTAAATCGTTTATTGTACAAATCGATATTCTTGTATACTGCAAAATAACATAGTCGAGAAGCTAAATCAATTAGTTTTGGTCTCAATACGTTGCTAGCGCAACATGCCGCCTATGCACATTACACTAAAATATTATATCTTTTATTTACATTTATAGTTTAGTTCGTGTTTTTTTTTAACCTCAACGCTTGATAGAATCAAATCCCGTCTATGATTTTATAAATCCGATTCGAATTTTTCAATTTTGTTTTTCAAAGATGCCCTTTTTTGATCTGTGATAGACCTACTCTGATAGAACACTTTAAACGTGCTATTGTGAAGCAAGTTAGTTGCTCTAAATGAATAAAGGGATCGAGCGAGAAAATAGATTGGAGAACCGGATGTAACTGGAAATGAAACAATTTTTACCTTCGTGTCACGGCAGAGACCAACTGAGTGTTCAATTAAAACGACTTTTGATGCCTTCCACAGCCATTTTCTCGCGCCTACCTCATCTATTTCGTGTCGCGTTAATAGTTCTCTCGAAAATATCCTCGAGGATATACTCGGTTGACCCAAAAACCGCGGTCGTAATTTAAACCCCCATCCGCAGAAGACACGCGATAAGTAGCTCCCGGGCTTACCTTAGAATCGACATGGGAGAAATAAAATAAATTTTGTCGCTAGAAACGAGATCCTGAAAATGGCATAAAATCGCGGCGACTGCTTCCAGCGGCACGATC